GCACGAATGGGCAAGAAAGATAGGCAAATGGAAACAGGGTACCCAGGGAGGATGTGGGTAGAATGCTGTCACATTGAGGGGATTGCAACTGATGTCATGAAACAAAATGTGTATAAATTGCTGAATGGGAAACTAATCTGCTTTGTAAACTTTCATTCAAACCACAATAAAATGTCTTAAAGAAAAGTATGATTTGATCCAGAAATTAAATTCCTTATATATTCAAAAAACGGACATTACTCAAAACCTAAGTTCATTCTACTTTTTGCCTGATTCTCCCATCCTCAGAGGTTACATTTTCTCACTTTAGGAATATTATCTCTTTTCCTTCTCTTTCTTTTGTAAAGATGACAGTACATTCTTTCACCTAACAATATCAATTAAATACTGTCACTTCCTTTCCACTGGATGACATTAGTATTCATTTGTACTTTGCTAAAATATCTAATTTCTTTAATTGCTAGTCTTAAAAAAAGTAGACAGGATCAGTATCATTTGCCATCACTTATATGCACAAATTGATCCAGAATATCTGGAATAGATATTCTGATAACATGTAAGAAAAGGAGGAGACTAGACATCAAGAGTCTGGATTTTACTTCTGGCTACATCATTTACTCACCATGTGACCTGCGGAATATCACAATCCTTCTAAGTCTTAATTTCTCCATCTCTAACATGAAGATAATGACACCAGCTCCGCTTTCTTCACTAAGTTATGGGGCTCAAAAGAGATCAAATATATGAAAGCACTATGAAGGCTGCAAAGGATACACATACGTAAGCCATTATTATTGATCATCTTATCTTGACAGGTCTTCCCTTTTTCAAAACACTGCTTAAGAACTTTACTCAAAGTCAAAATGCTCCTCCCTACTTCTGCCTCTAGCTAACCCAACATATCAAATTGCAAAACAAAATTACACTATGTTTCAATAGGGAAACAAGTCAATCCTCTATTAAAGTTGTTGTTTCCTTCTAAAATCTAAAATCAAAACCACAGTTTTAATTGAAGTTTCTTCCTGCAAAGTTAAGTGGCAATGCTTTATTTTTCCTGAAGTCTGTCTTAAAAATAATCCTTGTCTTCTTGTTACATTAAGAAAAACAATCCTTATTTTCTATACATTAACGACCAAAGAAAAAATTAAAACTTGCAGCAACTGTAGTTCACATTCTAAAAGTACAAGTGCATCTTGCTCATGAAGAAAGCAGTTATCAGAGTTTAGATTACCACATTCTGTCCTAAAAAATCAAAATCATCAATTTAAAAGTGGGAAAAGAATATTAAGATATTATTTAACACACAGAATATCTCTGGAAGAACCCCTAAGAAATCTACCAATGAACGAACCAGGTAGCATGGAGACAGTGAGAAGACATGCTTTTCACTGAACTGCATTTTGTACCTTTTGAAATTTGAGCCACATACAGTTTAAAAATACATATTTGTTATTTTATTAATGCATTATAAATCACTGAGGGATCCAAAAAAGTCCCCCTTTTCCAGATGAGAAAACTGAAGCCAAAGAAGTTAAATGACCTGCCCAGGATCACACTGCTAGATAATAAAAAAGCTGGGACTATACCTCAGGAACCTGAGGAAAGCTTCCAGTGTTTTTCCCCCTCATTATAATGCTACGTGCTAAAACAAAAAGTGCCATCTTATAAATAATAAAAACATTACTATAATCCTTTTCAGAAGTGTGGTCTTTCAGAGATTCTGGTGACTCATATGATACAATGGTAATTATTAATATTTTTACAGAAGTTCTAAGGCAAAAGGACAGACATGACAATCGTCATTATCAAGACTCATACCAAGTAACAAGCAAGTTAATAAAGACAGCACATGGATCAGTATGCCTACTCACAGACATAAATAGATTCAAACTTTAACTATGCCAGGAAAATTTTGCAGTTTTCATTATTACTAGCAGTAAAGATGTCTGATGAGGCAGGATAGATTCAGCAGTATAGACAGCTTATTCCCAGGGAATTGACTCAGAGGATATAAAGCAAAACCAGACCACAGGAAATTCTAGTTTGAAAGAAGCCTTGACAATTCCACTGTAGAGCCACCCTGGAGCAGGAGAACTAAGGGAGTTATCAAGGCCCCTTCTAGTCCTAAGGCCCTCAAATACTAAGAAGCAGAGCAATGTCAACTCCCCCGAGGAATTCAAGCATTCTTTTCCTCTTAACAAGAAAAAACATTAACTTCTTCTTTCAAACGGCACAAATGCAGGGGAAACAGTTTCCATAGAAAAGAAACCAGAAATTAAAACTAGAGAGGCTGAAAAAATGTGAGTCTGTCTGCTTGTGCAGCTTAGAACAGAAGGACGTTGGAAGAAAGGAAATTTGTTACAGGGATCTTTTCCAGCCCTGTAGGTAGCCTTCATATTTAGAGAAATACGCACATGTTAGATGTTACTAGGACTTTACCGTAATTTTTTATATTTGCCAAACATACTGTAGTCATGTATTAGTTAATCTAAGTATTTTCAAACACTGGGTAAGTCTGTTTGCCAACAATTAGATGATCTGACGAAACATTTAGAAAAAGAGAACACAAGAGATCAACTACAGTTGATCTTTCTAAAGAGAAATCATGGCCTATGGATAAACCATAGAGCAGGACTTTCTGAGACAACACTGAGTTGGAAGGTCGCACAGGAAGTCTCTCTCACCACACCTTCAATTCTCTGTCAGGAGCAAAAGGGCAGATAGAGCTTAAGTTCCAGCACTAACCAAACCCTATCATAGCCAGAGAATATATAATATGAAACCCCTAGCCTCAACAAAGGTCCTGAGATGGTTGCTTCAAATTTCATCTTCAATTTTCACTAAATATTTCAGATACAGAAAAAAATATATGAAGTTTACTTGTTGGTAATTTTCTCACTTAATTGAAAATAAATCTGATTCACGATAGAACAGTCACAAAATTCAAAGAAGACGAAAAAAATCACAGATATCAGGTATTATCCTCACACTGAAAGGTATTAATACCAAAACTCTTATTTTATCAAAAAAATTAAACGCAAAACCTAAAGCCAAAAAACAAAAGGCAATCCAACTCCCTCTTAGCAACAAATGAGTTAAGCAGTGACAGAAGCTGCACTAACATTACCGAAGGCAGGAGAAACATTTGGTGACTCACACATTCCCCTTTGATGTCAATTTTTAAAAATTAAAGAGTTGGTTTCTTTGGGAAGAAAAAGGGGGGGAAAAAAAACTTTAAGATTATCCCTTTAGGCTTCAGGTCCAATAAGTTAAAAACCATTTTGCCTCCTAGTCCCAATTTCAAAGTCAATTCCAATTAAAAAAAAAAAAAAAAAAATCATGAGTCATATCAAACATCTGGTATCCATGCAATTTACTGCCTTAAATTCATTCCATTAAGATTTATCGAGTGTCAAAACTGAACAAGTACCATATGAATTCAACCAGAGAAGCTGAATATTAACTTTACTCCCCTTTAGCATTCCCATATTTATACTTGTAAATGTGGATTATTTTTTCTCTCCACTTGCGGGGGAAAAAAAAGCGTAGTGAACGAATTTCAGAGTGCAGCTAAGCAGAACTTGATGAAAAAGGAAAATGGGTGTTGACTACCCCAACATCTCCTGCGTGACAATTTCTAAAAATAGTTTAAATTGTTTAAGTATTTACTAGTCTAAATCCACTCGTCAAATTTTCATTTGCCATGGTAACGGAATAAAAAGTGAGGAATATAGTTAGCTTGTATGATTTCAATTCTCAGACAATGCCAAAGTTTTAAGCCAATGATTTCACACGGCTCCTCATTAACTTTTCATTAACTTGGCTAACAGGGATTTATTTGACAGGCTGAGATTTCGGACCGTTTTAGTTTCCAGGCTCTCCCTCTGGCGGAGGCAGAAAAAGAGGCATGGAAGGCAAAGAAAGCACAAACAACTGGTATGGTGCCTTCGCAAGTAAGACAGACAACCTTGAATAAGAGATAACTACTAAAAAGCAGATATAAGAAAAAGAATAGTTTTGCATTTTCATCTCTCGGACACAGTTCCAGAATTCAGCACCGCCTGCCAAAATCGACTGGCATTATAGCAAATTACTAAGTATCACCCACAACCTTCTGCTTCGACATCCTCGGAAAAGACTGCATTCAATCTCAGTTATGCTACCACTAGGCAGTGCGTGAGGAGCGAGGCTAATGTACTTGAAGTAAGGGAAAACTGAGGCCCAGAGAGGGCGAAGACAGCTCATAACGAAAAGTCCAAGAGTTTCCCACGCAGGGTCCTGAACAAAAGTCTCAGCCCACGGTGAAGGCTACAGAGCCGCTGCTCTCTACCACTCACTTTTAAGGGGGGGGTGGGTTGGGGGTTAGTGAGGGTAACTGCACCAGGGAGTGGCAAGAGATGGCTCGCCTCTGGCGGCCAAATCAGACTCTCCCTCCATGACCCGAGCCCACCACCCTCTCCCCTCGGAGCTCCCAGGCAGGACCTCCACGTTCTCACTTCGTCCCCCCGCCCCACTCAAGTAAGCAGATCAGTCACCATCCCGCTCTGACCTATCGCCGCCGGGGCCTCGACGGTAGCGCGACGCCTCCATCCCCCGCAGCTCAGTAAGTTGCAACCACGTCCAGACCCCTAGACGCCGCCGCTAGGGTGGCAAGTCTGGCAGGCAGCCGGGCCCCACCCCCTGGCAACCACACTCCGCACTGTCACCACCGCCTATTGGACCATGTGACCACCACTCCCTTCTCATTGGCTATTGCCGCCACCGGCGATGCGGGAGGGTATCTAAGGGGCGGGAAGAACCCAGGAGTTAAAGGCGCCTGCGCTGAAGTGCGGATGACGGGCAAGGGCTTGGTTCCCTAGAGCGCGGCGCCGGGAAGGGGCTGAGGGCGGAAGGATGTGTTCGCGTCGGCTGTGCTGGCTCCCTGCGGTCAGGCTGCGAGTCCATCTGAGGAGCCGCCCATCCCCCACTAACCGCCACGCACCTAGCGGCTTCCTAACACCTCCGCCATTTGTACCTCGAGACCACCCATAGTGCTTCCAGAGGTCTGTTTTGTAACGATTTACAGACCTCTGCTGGCTTCTCACAATCTGGCCCCTTCCTAATTCCAGAGGCCTTCCGGGCAACCACACACGAAGTCTCTCCAGCAGTCATCCCCATTTAAATGGATCTTTCATAAAGTTTATCTGGTCTCATACAAAACCTCCTTCAGCCTCCCCTACTCCAGCTCAAGTTTTTAGATCAGTCCTAGACCTGCTCTACAAACTTTCCTAAAGCAGAGGACCCAGAGAACCTTTTCCATCTACTCCTTCTCCCTCTTTCTACAACGTATGGATCATCTTCAAACATCCATACTCTATAATGGGATCTAAATCTGTACCCTCGTTTCCAATAAATCTTGTCCCCAACTATCAGCTCCTTTCTCACCACCAACTTACATATTCTACAGACCCTACAGAATATCCTGACAAAAGTTACTAGACATTGACTTTAGTTTATTGTATTCCAAGGTCAAAGTTGTTCTACATTAGTTTTCAAAACAAGCTGATTTTTTAAGAGGCATAGAACTTGACATTAAGCTAGGACTGCGGGGCATTTAACTCACTGGGTCAGCCTCCACTCACTGTCTGACCCTGAACACAATTCATTCTCTGTGCTTCAAATTCACATCTGTAAAATAAGCAGAATAATCCCTGCTTGGTCAACCTCAGGCTGGACCTGACACATTTATTAAGTAGGTTCTTAATAAATAGGATTGAATGAGATGATATTTGTATGAAAGGACAATTGAGACATTTTGTTAACCAGAGAGTCCTTCTGCATTATTTACAATAGGAAGTAATATTCCCTGAAAACTTTCCACATTTATTTATATACATTTAAACCATTACTACAGGAAATCATTTTCCCACCTTATTTAATATTTATGGATTTATCTGGGAACAAAAAGTCAAAACATAAGCAAACTTAGTTTTTCTCTGTCCCCTTCCTCTCTCGATCCTACAGTATTCACTAAAACAGGGCTTGCTGCCCCTTCCTCATCTTGCCATCAACAGATGAGCCAAGGTTGTAGAGGCGGCAACTCAACCATAAAAAGTTACAATGAATTTGCTTTTTTTCTGTCCATTCGGTCATAGAGGAAGTGGCATTGAGCCTGACACAGAGTTGGTACTCAGAAATGTAAATGTAATTTGTTTGAATGAGATGACTAAAAGATTAATGAATGAGTAGCAGTTGAGGGAAACAAGAAAGACCTTTTGTGGAAGGGCAGTATACTATTGACAGTAAAATGCAGGGTTCTCTAAATAAAACTTTCTATTAACTATTTATTTACATGTATTGTGTTAGTATAAGAAATTTAATTTTAAAGAGTTAATATAAGAAAAACATGAAGTGAACTGTTTATGACACCAGATATTTTAAAAAGTAAATCAGGGAATTGAATTCCCTTATGACTCTAGGGCTCTAGTTAAAATATCTTCTTCCTACGGGTGTTATTTCCATTTTATTCTATTGATACACTCTCTTGCAAGCCAGAAGAGTGACTTTAGCAACTCTATGAAAACCAGCAGTCAATTTCTTGAGTTTCTTAATAAAGAGAGAGGCTGATGTCAGTTTTTCACAAGGAACTGGCTTCTGCTCAGCTTCCCTCTCTTCCTGAGGCAAGCCAACAGGTTCTGCCGTCTCCTCCAGGTGACCTTTATCCCATACTTCTCCTGAGGAGTGTCTTTAACCAGAATAGGCCCAGGCTCTGGGCTCTTAGGAATACTAGTATGAAGGGCGCAGCCTGGAAGCCTGTTTTCCTTCTGATCTGGGGAAATGGGTGTTTCCTTCACAGAAGATGACCCTGGAGTCTGGATGTCAGGTGGAATGAACACATAAGGTGGGCTTTGAAGTGTATGTACTGACAGTTCCCCATAGCTTTGGGAACTGAGGATTGGAACTAAGGGCGTTCTGGAAATGTCCTTTTCTGATTGCTTGGGAGGCTCCCTGATTAAGGGGATCCCCAATGTCACTGAACTGGAAGAAGACTGTGGACTCTCAAAGGTTAGCTGTGGAAACTTGGAAGTGGTAGATTTTCGACTTGAATGTCTTGCCTGGTCTTGGTGATGACGTTTCCGGTAAACTTGGAAACAGCTTTGTGCTGTCGTATCAAACTGAGGCAATACCTGATGATTAAAAAAAAAAGGTAAGGAGAGCCAACCACCAAGTCCAAACCAGAGGTAAGTATATTCAGGAAACTACATCAAATGACCAGAATCCTAAATGGGGGCCAACTGTAGTAATGGACATAGAAACAAAAATAGCTATCTAATCAGATAATAATAGAGCTTTGGCCAAGTTATTCAATCTCTTTGGCTTTCAGTTTCCTCATGTGTAATCAAGGGGACAATGTCTCTTTCACTTCATCACACCATATAATCACAACTTATTAACTGTCTATCTTTAAACTTCATGAAGGTAGGGACTAACAGTCTTGTTCGCCATTGGTCCCCAGCACCTAGCAGAGTGCCTGGTACAGAGAAGGCCCTCACCTCAGTAAATAAGTACTGTAGCTGAATGCAAGAATAAGGAAATGAAATCACGTATGTTAAGCATTGATCATAGGGCCTGGCACATAATGAGTACTCAAGAAATGTACATTCCTATTCTCATCCACAGGATTCTAAGGTTTGAGTTTCTTCCACAATCCTGAGGCAAGTATTATGGTTCTTCCAGGCAGTCCTGAACAAGTTATATTTAGTAAGCACTCTTAAGCAGAGCTTGTGCTTTTATATGACCCTTTTTCTATAATACTTCCCTGTCATATAGTAGCTATACCCTCTTCCAAGGTCTCTTACACTATTAAAATACGACATAAATTTCTGTAGATTTTTTTTTTTTCAAGGTTCAACCCATTAAACAGTAGAGTACCTAGATAAATACTCCACTTCTCACATGAAACTTAGGGAATGATCTCATTTTTTACTTGTCTTGCCATTTATCTGGCTTTCTCATCCAGCTACTGGGTAGTGAAATTTTCATATGGAACTCCTTCAGAGGAATGTGGGAGGAAAATCTTCAATTCCAACCAACTCATGTCTCAGTTTGAAACGAGAAAAGGAGATGTACCAGAGAAGATGTCTGACAATAGCCAAAAGAGTACATGGCCTCCTTGTCCCTATCTGCCAGGAATCTTATTTTTTGGAGGCCCTCGTTCAAGACCAGAAGAGGCAGCACTCTGAGAAGCCTAACAGAGGAAAAGTCAAAGTAAGAATACCATGGGCCTACCCAGGATGTGATGGTGTTGTGGTCAATGGGCTTGCTGGGCACCTGTCTAGTGCGGCTGATGCGAAGCTGTGGAGACCCACAGCGGTGTTTGGGGCCCTCCAGTGGTTGCTGGTGGAATAGCAGTGGGGCTTTCTGAGAACGCCGGCTGCGTTTTTTTCTGGGCGGCATCGATAGGTGAATGAAGAGTAGTTAATAACCACATCATGCTGGCTACAATCAGGTGCGGGAACAGACTCCAATTCCAACCCATGCCTGCAGAGAGAAAACAAAAGCCAGGAGGAAAATAACTCAGATGATTCCCCAGCTCTGCCAGCTAATTCTACCATAAACTACTACCCCACCTCAAGATTGTGGGGAGCATAGCTTCCCAAACCTACCCCACCAAGCAAACACACAGTAGTTCATATTTAATAACATTCATTCTGTAAACATTTACTGAGCATGTGTTAAGCACCATGCTGGGTGGTCAGAATTAAAAGATGAATAACCATTTGTTCAACATTTACTGAGTGCCAAGGGAGCATTTGTAAGGATACAAGGGTCAGATTGCTGCTGTCTTCAAGAAGCTGAGTCTAGTGGGGGAGACAGAAAATTACAATATAATATGAGAAGAATGCTTCCATTCTCTTCAGGGGAGGCTTCCGGGAGAGGGAGATACCTGACTTAGGTATGGAAAGGATAGGACAAGCAAGGAAGCAAGAAGGGCACTCCTGCTGAGGAATAGCATATACAAAGGCACAGAGGCATGGAGTATTGTGAATTCAGGGACTTACAAAACCAAAATAGCTGGACACAGTGTACAAGAAGATGAATGGCAAGAATTGAAGCTAGACATGGAGTCAGGGTCAGATCAGAAAAATCAGTTGTGCCATATGAGCTTGGACTTTAGCCTGAGAAGTCATTAAAGATTTTCAAGCAGAATGGTATGATTATATTTGGCCTTTTTTTTCTAATTTAACTTTTTACCCCACATAATTTTAAACTTACACAAAAGTAGACTGAATAATATAATGAACCCCCATGTACCCATCAGCCAGCTCTAACAACCATCAACCCATGACCAATCCTGACCCATCCACACTCCTATCCACTTTCCCCACTCCTGCCTTATTTTCAGGCAAACACGATGTTTCCAGTCATCCTATCATTTCTGTTAACATGATTAAAATACATGTATTAATTCCTTAATATCATCAAATAGCCAGTTTTCAAATTTTCAATGGTCTCAAAAATGCCATAATTGTGTTTTTTGTTTGTTTTTGTCATTTAGACAGATCATCCTGGAGACAATATGAAAGGAGAGGATGAGTACTCTGGGATAGGGGGACCAGTTAGGAGGTTACTGTGTCATCCAAGAGAGAAATGATAAGGGTCTGAACCTCAGCTGTGTCAGTAGAGGTGGGAGGCTGGAGACAGAGGTAAGGCCAACAGGACCAGACAGTAATAAAGTCATACAACAGAGCAGATTGTTTCCATTATACGTTCATGAGTCAAAAAATCAACACGATCTGATTTGTGTCACTAGGTAGTGGAGAATCAGATACCAAAGGGGAAGAAGAAGGAAAAAACAAAGGACAAAGTCCCTACTTACCCTCAAGGAACTAACATTTTAGAGAGAACACAAGTAATAAATACATCCATTTGTTCATTCATTCATTCAACAAATATTTACAGAGTGCCTACTATGTGCCAGGCACTGTTCCAGGTGCTGGAAATATACACCAGAGAACAGTATAAAATCCCTGCCCACATGGTGCTTTAAATCTAAGATAGCAATCAGTTAACTATTTATTCTGTTTGATTTTTCAGTGGGAAGTGATATGAGGTAGGAGAAAAATCAAACAGGATAAGGGTTTGAGCTGACTGAGTGCTATTTTAGATCAGGTTGTCAGGGAAGGCCTACCTGAAGAGGTGACATTTGAGCAAAGTCCTGAATGAAAAAAGAAGCAAGCAATGGAAAGATATGAATGAAGAATATTGAAGTCTGAGAGAACAGTAAATGCAAAGACCCTGAGGTGGGACTATTTCTGACTTGTCCAAGAAACAGTAAGGTTAGGGTGACTGAAATCAAGAGTGGCTAAGAGATGAGGTAGTAGAAAGGGAGGAACCGGTTCATGTGACACAGGGCTTTGTAGGCTAGGATTACATTTTATTCTTAGTATGATAGAAGTCACTGAAAGGTTCGGGCAGAGAAGTGACATAATCTGATTTGGAGTTTTAAAACATAACTCCAGGCACTTTGTGAGGAAAGCCTGGTTGGGAAGAGGGGGGTGGAGAAAGGAAGCAGGGCATCCAGTTAGGCTACTGCAGGAGTTCAATGGAGAGAGAGATAAAGGTAGCAATGGCTAAGGTGAAAGTACTGAAAATAATGACTTGCTGAAATTCACCATCAAATGGGCCCACTACCTTGCCCAGCCATCCTACTATGATTCCCTGATCAACTCTCCACAAAGATTATCTTAAATTTTTTCCACTTGCTAAGACTTCTGAACTTCTCTTCTCTCAGTAGATGCCTTACTTCCAACTTCACAAAGAATACAGAAGCCACCAAAGAAAATACCCTCATTTTCTAGAAATCAAACATACAAACCTGCATCCATCCTCTTTCTCTCAGCTGTAGAGAGGTGCTGTCAGTATCTTCTGCAATCTAAGGCCTTTCCCTCCACCTGTGCTTTAGGCACCTTTCTGACTCATACACTTTTCTTAGGCAATCTCATGCACTCATATTTTAATTTCCACCTACTCTGTTACACACTCGGTTTAGAATTCTCTAAGCTCAGGACCCATATACCCATTGCCTACTTGACAGCAACTAGATGTCTCAAATGTACCTCAAATTCAACATGTTTAAAACTGAACTCATCATCTCTCCCCACCTCCAGGGCCCTAACTCAGCAAACGGTATCATTCTTCATCCAGTTATACAGCCAGAAATCTTGACACCTCCCTCTCCCCACCTCCTCTATCCAAACCAACACCAAGTCCTGTCAATTTTACCTCTCAAACATGTCTTCTTCAAGCTCCAACCAGTTCTCCCATGGAATATCACAATGGCCTAACTTTTCTACCCTAATCCATTTAAAAACGTGTCATTTAAAAATGCAAGTCTGACCATGACTCACTTCTGCTTAAAACTTTTGATTGGCTTCCTTTAGTTTTTGGATGAGGACACAACTCAGTACGGCTAGGCTCTGCTTTCTCTTGCTCCAGCTTCATCTCACATCGCACTTCATTCAGGTCTCTTAGCTCAAACTCCTTAGATATATTCTTCAACCTTTGTACTCACCATGCTTCCTCCTGCCACACAGCCTTTGCACACTTTATTCCCTCCCTCTGCTTAGAGGGCTTCCCTCCCGTCTTTGCATAAAGGCATCAGATCTCACAACAAGCTTCAGTTCATCAGAAAACCCTTTCCTGCCCTAACTCAAGACCTCCTTATTATACATACCCAAAGTATCATTTACCTCTACCACTTCACAACTATAATTCTACATTTGATTATTTGATAATGTCTGTGATGCCACCCCCTCTCCCCAATTAGTCTGATAAGCCCAGGAGAAGGAAAACTGTCTGCCATTGTATCCCTAGGACCTATCACAGTGCCTGGCACAACTTATCAACAAACATTTGCTAATAAGTGAATAAATAAGGCACTTTGGTTCATTATAACAAAAAGCTTGGCTGGGGGTGGAGAATGTCAGTAGTCGAAGATTTAGAGTTGAGGCAGAATTTCTGTTGTGTTTTGTTTTAAGATGGAAGAAACCTGTACAAGATTACGTGCTGCCCTCAAAGAACTCTCAGTCTAGTCGGGGGTACCAGACGATCGTTAATCAGACGTGAATGGACTACAATTTCTCCCAATCAGGATATCAACTAAAACAGACCTTTAAAGAGGGTATGAAAATCATGAGGGGGGTAGGGTAGAGGATGGGAAAGCGGAAGAAAGCAGAGCCGTGTCCCAGTCACCACCGTCTTCCCACGTCCCCTCACAGTCTCTCCGCTCCCCCTCACCCAACCATGGCGGCCACCCCTTGCTCCTTCCCAACCTTCCACCGCCTTCTCTCAGTCCACAGTAACCTTGTCCCCTCGAGCCGGCCTCTGGCCTCTCTTACCAGCCGGGTACGGTCCCGGGCCGCGTCTCCTCTCAGGTCTCCACAGGGTTCGAGCCCGGAACGTGGAGACAAGGGCCGGCGCCGATTGGCGACGCTCCGTCACGTGACCGCAACGCTCCGCCGGCGCCAATTTCAAACAGCGGAACAAACTGAAAGCTCCGGTGACGGACCCCACCCCCGGCTCCCGGCCCGGGACCCCCTCCCCTCCCGGGATCCCCCGGGATTCCCCACCCCTCCCGCACCGCCGGGGACCCGCCGGCCTGGCGCGAGTCCCTGTCCAGGACCCTGGCTCAGCCCCCAGATTGGAGGAGCCCGGAGACCGCCCTAGGAGCCTTACCCCAGCAGCAGCGGCGGCTGCAGTCGGGAGGTGAGCGGGGGCAGAGGAATGGAGGCTGAGGGCTGGCCTGGGCAGCGGCAGGGAGAAAGGTCTCTGGCGCCGCTTCCCCAAGTCCTCCGAGCGAGGAGGTCAGGGAGTCTAGCAATGGGGCGCGGGACAGGAGTGGAGGTTTGGGGCCACACCGGGAAGGAGGTCTGAGTGAGGATGCAAATTTTTTCTGCATCCAACCTCCTGGCCTCGGCCTTCTCACTTATTTCTCTAAGCACCACTTGGCTTTTCTTGGAAGTGTGACCTCTGTACCCTGCATCGGGAGGGCTGGGGTGGCCTACCAAGCGTGGATCGTGGCAGGACTGAAGACTGAGCTTATTCTCCAGTAAGTGAAAGATCAACCCGCACACACTCCCCTGCTCTCAGGCGCTGTCAGCACCAGGCAACACTGCCTCCACCCTAACCTTCTGCAGGGCCCTTCCGGTTTTTGAGAATCTAGCAAGGTTTTCCTGATCAGGATAGGGTTACTCTGGAGGTCACCAGCTAGAAGGTGTTGTTGGCAATAATAAGAAGAGGTTGGTCAGGAAGTAGAATTGAAAATTAAGACTTAGACCAGGAAGAACATATTTTGGAGTGGGGGAGGATAATGTCTACTGGCTGATGGAAGGAGGGAGGGAGGGAGGCCAGGAGAGATATGAGGTGGAAGTAAAACTGAGATTTGAAGGTAAAGGAAACCTAGATATATAGGAAGGGGAGGAGGCAGAGTGGGGAGGGCCTGTGAATTCTAAGCAGATGGAAAATGTCATACAAATGTGTCAATCATTTTTAGGGAGATAGCAGACATCCTAAAAATAAGACAGCCAATTTCCCTGTCTCTCAAAGTAGCTCTAAATAGAATTATAGAATTTTACATAAAATGGTAGAGTATTTCACATAGCTATTAAAAATTAACAAAGCACAACTTTTTTTTTTCCAAGAAAAAAACTACTACTCTGCTTGGCATCACAAAGCCACCTTAGCATATTGGTGACAGCGCATTCTAGGAATCAGGAGATAGGGGTTATTGTCTTTGTTCTGGAAGAAAAATTAATACAGTAACATGCTTAGAAAGCTAAAATAGAGATAAGTACATGCAAGTACTAATATTGTCACTATATAAGTATTTTGTAAACTGAAAGAAAAATATACTTTTTATTAATGTAAGAATAATGTTAATATAGCCTGTGAAATGAATGGGACCCCTGGAGTTGTGCAGTGCACAATCGGCGCAACTTTACCATGGGCCTTAACTAGAGCAAGGCTTGCCTGCAAGCCTTTTATCTGAGGCCTTGTGAACTAGGAGATGATATCTCCAGTGATATGGCAATAGTACAATATGCCTCTCTCCCCTGATTCTGTGGGCACTGATCCTACTTTTTACAAAGTAGGATTACATAAAACTAAAGGCTCTGTCCTAGAATGGATTATGGGATCAGAGTCTTGTCAGGACTATATATTACCATATGTCTTCCTATTCCAGCATCTTCCATTTCTGTCCCTCCAGTCATAGCAAGTAATGTATATTATCGTAGGCAATGATAATGTCTACATTTTGTAGCTGTCCCACTTGCTTCTGTAGCCAAGCATTCTTAAGCTTCTAGCAGGAAGTCTTCAGCTGTCTTGACCCAAATCCAATCCAGTTCCACTGTACCCCTTTGAATTGCTTCTGTTTGCTTCAGTTTTAGCTTTCTTTTGCCAGTGGATTTCATCTTCTTAGTATCGGAGGTAAGTCTCTACAAAGGCCCAGGGAGCATTCACCTGGGCCTTTCAGCTCATACTTCTGGCCATATGAAGAGGAACACCTCTCTAAAAGAAACTCCTTCTCAGCCTAACAAATCTCTGACATCCTGCTGCTCCTTATACTTTCCAGGGTCCATGCTTGTGATTCTCAATGGAGAGTGAAAGCACAGATTCATAATGAAAACCAGCCCCCGCCGGCCACTGATTCTCAAAAGACGGAGGCTGCCCCTTCCTGTTCAAAATGCCCCACGTGAAACATCAGAGGAAGAACCTAAAAGGCCCACTGCCCAACAGGAGCCTGGTCAAGCACAGGCCTCCAAGGAAGTGGCAGAGTTTAGCTCTTGCAAGTTTCCAGCTGGAATCAAGGTTATTAACCACCCCACCATGCCCAACACCCAAGTGGTGGCCATCCCCAACAATGCCAATATCCAGAGCATCATCACAGCACTGACCGCCAAAGGAAAAGAGAGTGGCAGCAGTGGGCCCAACAAGTTCATCCTCATCAGCTGTGGGGGAGCCCCCACTCGCCCTTCAGGACCCCAGCCTCTAGCCCAAGCCAGCTGTGATGCCAGGAGGACAGAAGTGACAACCGAGACCCTGGGACCAAAGCCTACAGCTAGGGATGTGAATCTTCCTAGACATCCTGGAGCCCTTCCCGGGCAGCAATGGGAGAGCTGTGGTATGTGATCTAAGGCAAAGGGGTGAGGAGCCCAGTCCTTCCTTTCTGGTGGCAAGGTCTGCAGTCAGTCATATTGATGCTTACAACAGATAGGCGTGCAGCCTAAACCAAGTCTTGTCCTCATCCAGAAGCTTGACCCACATCCTTTGGGCACTGTTGAAAGGGTTGTGATTATAATTTAGCATTTCTATTGCCTTCTTTATATTGGAAAAGAATTTATTATTTCTATTTCTCCTTTCCACTGATCCTGTATGGAAGTAGAAATCTTAACAAAGGAGAAAACTGAAGCAGAAGGAGAAAAAGTGACTTTCCTTGTGCAAATACTCAAATAACTCTTCTGTAATGTTGCCTTGCCTGATCTCTAAGGTGCAGTGCAGCTCAGATTGAATTGCAGTTTGAATTTCTCCTGAAATCCCTAATGGGGCAGAGTAACTTAGGGCCCATTAGATTCAACATGTGCTCCCTGTCCCTAAGGGTAGAGGTCTTGGAGGGGTGATCCCTAACCACAGATTTTGATGGGCCTGCCAGGCATCTGGTCAGGCAGCTAAGTGGAGTCTTGGTTTGCTTTCTCTCTAGCTGGTGGTGAGGCAGCAGGCTGCACTCTCGACAACAGCTTGACCAATATCCAGTGGCTTGGAAAGATGAGTTCTGATGGACTGGGCTCCTGCAGCATCAAGCAAGAAATGGAGGAAAAGGAGAATTGTCACCTGGAACAGAGTCAGGTTAAGGTGCACCGCTCTAGGGCGCTCAGTAGGGAAGTCAGAGCCCTTGCAGGGACTTTCTAAGAAGGGAACTAGATCAAGTGGCGGGCTGGAGCAGGATGTCCAAGTTCAAGTATTTGTACTCCACTTGGTGCTATTCTCTGTAAGTTTTGAGCTACTTTTCTCCCTGAGATCTTTTTCTTCCATCTGTGAAAATTCCTTGAGAGCAGATTCCTCTGGCTGGCTCACTCTGTATTTCCATCAGCACTGAGTATAGTACTCTGCCCTTAGTAGGTATTCAGGAAATGATGAAGTCTTAGTTTGGGAAGCAACTGGTACATTAGAGAGGCACCAAAAGTATGAAAGAAATACAACATCTCTAACAAGATAATTGTATTAAGAAGATATAATATTAATAGCAAATAAAGTGAATTAGATGTGTTTTAAATACATCCCAGCAATCAAAATTGATTTGACCCAAACGTATGTTCTTAGTTGTTTTTCACAATTGCTGATGTCACACATCTAGATCCTGGTGTATGTACCCTTTAATCATTCATTTAACAACCTATAAACGTGAAAATTTACATGAATGTATAATATAAAACTTAACTGAGCTGTACACTTAAGATTTGTGTACTTTATAAAGTTACGTCTCAATTTAGAAAAATGGGAGTAATCAGCACTTAGCCAAATGTGTGCTTTTGGGAATGTTTCCCTCATACAGACATTGAAATGAGGTGGATTTACTCACATCATATCAGGAGTAGGAGTGGGACTAAGACCCCCAGATCTAAAAAAATGGGTATGGTTTTACTATAAAGCCAATGCTTTGAGGATCAGTATATAACCAGACTCTCCTGAGAGGATTCAACTAGAAGGAACTGGACCTCAGCTTATTACTGGGCAGTATCTTCAACAAACGAGCTCTGGTGGCACAGTGGTTAAGCACTAGGCCGCTAACCAAAAGGTCAGTGGTTTGAACCCACCAGCCACTGTGTGGGAGAAAGATGTGACAGTCTGCTTCCATAAAGATTACAGCCTTGGAAATCTTTGGGGCAGTGCTACTCTGTCCTGTAGCATCGCCGTGAGTTGGAATCGACTCGATGGCAATGAATTTGGTTTTGGGTATCTTCGACAAAATGGTGACAGAGAAGTGATTCAAACATTGACTAGGGACTGGACTAGATCATCCCTAGATCCTTCTTAACCCTAAAATTTTATTCTATGGAATAGTAGTCTCAGATAAGTATGTTTCTAGTACAATTCTATGGGATAAAAAGTTTCTCTAGGAGATGTTTATGGGCGGGGAGAGGAGGGCGTTTCTTGCAAACTCTTCCATGTCATTCCCTTTTCTCCTTCCCTTTGGCTTCTCATAACCCTCAGGTTGAGGAGCCCCCAGGAGGACCAACATCCTGGCGGGACTCTGTGTCTGAACGGCCACCCTACTCTTACATGGCCATGATACAATTCGCTATCAACAGCACTGAGAGGAAGCGCATGACCTTGAAGGACATCTATACTTGGATCGAGGACCACTTCCCCTACTTTAAGCACATTGCCAAACCAGGCTGGAAGGTAATATGCCCCTTAACAACCAAAGTTGAGGTGACTTTGGCCCTACAGTTTGTCTCTGGTATTGCACAGCAGTTTATGTTGGTGTTCTGGGGAAGCAGCTCAATGCAAAGGGTACTAGACCTATAAACAGATGTATCTTTTGGATTGTGACTTGATCCTACTGAATCTAGGCAAAATCATCAATAAGAGCTCTGCAGCCACTTCATCTGTCATTATCTAAGGTTAGAGAGACTCTTCAATGTAGCACCAAGCCCACTTTTATGCTGCATCAAAACAGTCATAAGTATTGGCAGCTAGAGTGGCTTAGTAGCTGTTATGACAAAATCTTAATGAAAAAAACAACAAAACAAAAACCATTGCCTGTGTGCCTTAGGACCGAAGATTCATCTCCCACAGCGTTACATATCATTCTAGTGGGCAGGATTGTTCTCTTCATTTTATTCACGGAAACACAGATGCCTGGGAATCATCATAACTCACACAGTTGGTCAATGTCAGAAGCACAAGGGTTATGGATTGAATTGTATCCCCAAAAAATATGTGCTATAAATCGTAGCCTCTACACCTGTGGTTATAACCCATTTGGGAATGGGTTGTCTTTGTTAGGTTAATGAGACAGGATTAGTGTAGGGTGTATATTAAGTCAATCTCTTTTGAGATATAAAAGAGATTAAACAAGCAAGAGAGAAGCAAGCAGAGATGGGGTAAGACAGATACCAAGACACATGGAGATCTCCAAGGAACCAGGAAGCAAAAGCTGAAGAGACAAGGATCTTCCGTCTGAGCTAACAGAAAGCCTTCCCCTAGAGCCTGCACTCTGAATTCAGACTTCTAGTCTCCTAAACTGTGAGAAAATAAATTTGTTTGTTAAAGCCACCCACTTGTGGTATTTCTGTTGTAGCAGCACTAGATAACTAAGACAACAAGTTAGGTCTTCTGATAGGTTCTCAATTCCAAGCCAAGGCTTTCCCCCCCCATAATAGAACTCTTAACTTCACACTGTTATCTCAACTTAATTTCCTGGTTTCTTAATTTTTCTTACACACCTGTCTTGCTATTGATTATTGCTTCACAGTCTTAACTGCTTTTTCGCAGCCCCTGACAGCTCTCCAGGTCTCTTCTTGATCACAACCTAAAGAATGGCACCAGTTTTTGATCCTTGTAGAGGTAGATGGGTTTATGGCAAAGTTGACGGCTCTGCAGTGTGAAGTGTAAGGGAGGGAGTTACCAATGGGCAAGGCTACACGGATACCTGACAAAGCTTGTCCTGGGTATAGTGGAAGAGGCCTGAGGCTGATTTGCCCAATTGGTTTCAAAGGTGCTGTTTCTGAAGCTAAGGTAGCTGATCACTGGTCTTTATCTTCTTTCAGAATTCCATCCGCCACAACCTTTCTCTCCATGACATGTTTGTTCGTGAGACGTCTGCCAATGGCAAGGTCTCCTTTTGGACCATTCACCCCAGTGCCAATCGCTACTTGACATTGGACCAGGTGTTTAAGGTGAGTGTCCTGGTTTTGTCTAAACAGGGCCAGAGTTGGAGGTTGTAGTATCCATCTCAAAAGGATATCTGATCAGAGAAGAGTCAGAAACCAGCCAGCCGATCAGTGATTGGCGTAAAACTTGCTGAACTAAGTGCAGATGACAAATACCAAATGATACACTGTGCTAGACCAGGGCATGAAGAGGACTGTTCTGATACAAAATAGAGGGAGACTTCCCAGGGCAGCATTACCCTCACTTCCCTGTGACTAAGAATTGCCTGGACGCTTGTTAAAATACACCTTCCCAGGCCCTTCCCTTGGAGGTCCTGGTTCAGTTTGTTTGGGATAGGCCCAGGGATTTGTATTGTTAAGCATCTCAGGTGATTCTTGCAGAGGAAAGTCTGGGAAACTGCTTTAAAGAAAAAAAAAAAAAACACCTTTAGATAGAGACCAGAAGCTGAGCCACCAAAATATCTTTTCAGAAAGAAGCTATCGTTTTGGGATCTCAGAGTGCCCATAAGGCTGACAGTACCTATATGTATTCTCTTGGGAGGGACAGTTGTCCAGGGTACCCTTCAGCTTCAATGACGGCTATGTTCTTCCCAGTCTGATCAGATTGACCACATCAGTGGTAACTTCCATCTCATTTCTCTCCCACAATGCTTGGCCACCACCAGCCACTGGACCCAGGGTCTCCACAATCGCCCGAGCACTTGGAATCAGTAAGATTCTCTCCCTCTGGCTCGGGGCTTGGACTTTTTTTCCTTTCACTGCTCAGCATGGCTTTAGCAGACAGGGGTCATATGTTAAGCAGGGGTAGGGAGCCTAGGGCCATGTGACTGCTGCCTTAAACACAGAGCACCCTGAGGCTTCTGGGAGGGAGGAAAATGAGGCTGCTGGGCACATTTGTGACCATCACGCCATCTCGCCAGAAGTAGGGCTCATGCCCACTTCTCCTTCCCCTCCCACAGGCATCATCCAAGTGTGCTGAGCAGAGCACAGCATGGCAGGAGAACATGCCACAGGCTTGGTGCGAGACAGCAGTGATAAGTGCATGGCATAGGTCTTGCAGGCTGCAATCTTCCTCTCACTTTTCTACCTGGCTTTTCTTGACCACTCATACAGCTACATGCTTTAGCATCTCCTGAGGGTGGTGAAGACACATGGATGAGGTGGTAGGACAGTCCTGCCATCATATGTCCATATGCTGTCTACCTTTTCCCACTAACCAAGGCTTTGGAGACAGTGCTCACCTACATCCATCCCCTCAGGTCAGCTTTTTCTTTCTGGCCTGTTGGTTAGCTCAGTGCACAGTACCAGAGCAGCTGGTGGGGTTCTCCTGCTGTCTCCCCCTACCTTATTAACCCAGGTTTCTTTCTTTCCCTATCTACCACAAGCAGCAGCAGAAACGACCCAATCCTGAGCTCCGCCGGAACATGACCATCAAAACTGAACTCCCACTGGGCGCACGTTAGTATGGGAGAGTGGGCCTCAGGCCTAGTCCTTGTTCTGGGGGCATATCTTTAGAGAATCAGACTCCGGGATTCTGTTCCCAGCTCAAAGGGATCTGAGCCCAGAAATGGAGAACAAAGCTCCTGGGTTTGAGAAGGGGTATATACTCCCTGCTCCTGATCTCTCCGATTTCTTCCTAGGCCGGAAGATGAAGCCCCTGCTACCACGGGTCAGCTCATACCTGGTGCCCATCCAGTTCCCAGTGAACCAGTCACTGGTGTTGCAGCCCTCAGTGAAGGTACCACTGCCCCTGGCAGCTTCACTCATGAGCTCAGAGCTTTCCCGCCATAGCAAACGAGTCCGCATTGCCCCCAAGGTGAGTGTTTTCTGTTTTTCTCTGAGGAGTGACACCCATCAATTGAAAGTGTTGTACCTACTACTTACAAAGCACTCTGCTAAGTGTTCCTTAAGAAGCTTATAAATCTAGTTGGGTAGACAAGGCATAAATACACCCAAAACCAAACCAAACCCACTGCTGTCGAGTCAATTCCAACACATAGCAACCCTATAGGACAGAGTGGAACTGCCCCATAGGGTTTCCAAGGCTATAATCTTTATGGAAGCTGACTGCCACATCTTTCTCCCACAGAGCAGCTGGTAGGTTCAAACTGCTGACCTTTCAGTTGGCAGCTGAGCGCTTAACCATTGCGCCACCAGGGCTCCTTCATAAATACATAAGAACATTTAATAGCATTATGTTGTTAATTGCCATCAAATCAATTCCAACTCATGGCGACCCCATACGTGCAGAGTAGAATTGCTCCATAGGGTCTTCAAGGCTGTTACCTTTTGGAAGCGGATCACCAGGCCTGAATTCTGAGGTGCCTCCAGGTGTGTTTGAACCACCAAACTTTCGGTTAATAGTCCAGCACTTAACTATTTGCAACACCTGGGGACTCCTAATAGCATTATAAGAGCTAAAAAGGAATTCGGATTACAATGTAAGTGGTGGCAGAAGGCCCATAAATACCTGATGAGTCTATAAGAATTCAGACAAGGATGATTCTGGTGGATGGGCTGGAACCTTTAAGAAGAATTCACAAGGGAAGTAGGTCTTAAAAAGAAGTAGGTTTGCGTAAGCAAATAGGCGTGGAAAGAGCATTCTGTTAGGTAATGCCATGGAGGCAAGGAAGGCCCGTTTGTACCTAGTAGAACGAATGGGTCAGTCTAGCTCAAGGTTTCTCAGCCTCAGTACTATTGACATTTTGGGCTGGAAAAGTCTTTGTGGAGGGGGAGGGGCACTGTCCTGTGTACCATAGGATGTTCAGCAGCTTCCCTTATCTCCACTAGATGCCAGTAGCACCCCCTAGGTGTGACAGTTAAAATGCCACCTGACATTGCCAAATGTACCCTGGGGGAGGATATCCCACCCCACCCCACCCCCCACCCTGGTGGAGCATAACTGGTCTAGCTTCAAGGGAAGGTGAGGGGAAGTTAAGACCATATTGTGATAAGCCACCAAGTCTGGACGTTACTCTGTAGAGGTTTTGTAAGCAGGGGCTGACAGGTAACCAATGTAGAGGAAAGCCCTCCCCAACCCACCACTTCACTGAGATGGAAACAGCATGGACTGTGGAGTTTGGAGAGATTTGGGTTTGCTTGGTTTTTTCCTTCTTTTTTTTAATTTAAAAAATTATTTTAAAAAATATTATACATAAAATTATACATACTATATATAATTTTACATAAATGCATTAATGTGTAATTGTGATTTTAGTATGTATACTGTTTTGTTTCAGAGCAGTCTTTTTTTTTTCTTTTCCTCTTTTTGGCTCCATTCCACCTCCCCTTCCCCCACCTTCACCCACATTACCCCTGCCCCCCAAGAAAACCCATGTCCACAATTTAGGATGCTTTCTTCCATATTTTATCCATGCTCTTAATATAATAGACATACATATATAGCCCTAGCCATTTTATGTATGTATATCCAACACATAGGACATTAAAAATGGGATCATATTATACGAATTTTTCTGCGTCTGACTTTTTCTAACTCAACAATACCTTGTGCAAATTCTTCCAAGTCCCTTGGCATAGCTCTAATTCATTGCTTTTTAATGGCCACATAATATTCCATGGCGTGGCTATAACATAAATTTGCAACCATTCCACTTTTATGGGCACGTTTTGTGTCTAGTTTTTTGCCCTATGAACAACATTGCAATAAATGTCTTTCTTACCAGTGCTTTTATTACTATGGGATAGAGTCCCAGACATGAGATTGCTGAGTAACAAGATATTTTAAATTTTATTAAATATTGCTAGATTGCTTTCTTTAAAAAGCTGTGATAATTCAGATTTCCACCAGCAATATATGACAAGACCTGTATCTTTTCCAGCAATGGGTATTATCAGTCTTTTTAATATTTTCCAGTTTGATAGGTATAAATGATATCTCCTTATTTAATTGTATCTTTTCTTTGTTTACCAATAAGTTTGGGCATCTTCTCAAATGTTTGGCTTCTTGGAATTGTCCTATATGAATTGCTTATTTATAGACATTGTCCATTTTTTTTACAGGGTTTTGTTATTAATTTGTGAGAATTTTGTATATTATAGAGATTAGCTTTTTGCCTTTTTATGCTGAGGATATCTTTCTACTTTTATCGTTTGTTTCTTAACTTTGTTTATGGTATCTCTTGCCACAGTAAAAATTTTTATTTAGTCAAATATGTCTCTCTTCTCTTTTACAGCTCTGGGTTTCCAGTCTTGGTTAAGAAGGTCACCCCCACCCTCAGATTGTACATGTAGTCTCCTAGATTCTCTTGCAGGATTTGTATGGTTTTAATTTTTATGTTTTAAGTCTTCATATACGGTATAAGATAGGCATCCGATCTTATTTCTCTCAGATGGGTACTGATTGTGCCAGCATCATATTAAATACTCCATATTTTTACCCCTGGAATTGAATTACCACCTTCATCCTATATTAAATTCTCATATACAATAGTTTTTAAAAATTTAAAAAGACAAAAAAGAAGATTAGTACCAGTGTATAAGTAATTATAGTCATGGTTTTGTGTTTTGCCTGGTGACAGTGTTTTGCCTGATCACCAGGCCTCAAGGGCTCCCTTTCACCTATCTCTGCTTCCCTTTCAGGTACTGCTAGCTGATGAAGGGATAGCCCCTCTTCCCACTGTGGGACCAGTGAAAGAGGAGAAACTCCTGCCTGGAGAAGAGCTGTCCCCTTTGCTTCCAGTTCAGTCCATCAAGGAGGAGGAAATCCAGGCTGGGGAGGAAACGCCATACTTAACGAGACACATCAAAGTAGAGAGCCCTCCCTTGGAAGAGTGGCCCTCCCCATCTTTCAAAGAGGAATCGCCTCACTCCTGGGAAGATTCATCCCACTCTCCCACTCCAAGGCCCAAGAAGTCCTACAGTGGGCTCAAGTCCCCAGCCCGGTGTGTCTCTGAAATGCTTGTGATTAAACGGAGGGAGAGAAGGGAGAGGAGCCGGTCCCGAAGAAAACAGCATTTACTGCCTCCCTGTGTGGACGAGCCCGAGCCACTCTTCTCAGAGGGCCCCAGCACTTCCCGCCGAGCCACAGAGCTCCCTTTCCTAGCAGAGGCCTCGGAGCCCACCTCCCAGCTAGGTTATTCCCAGGAGGAAGGAGGACCTTTTAAGACACCCATTAAAGAGACACTGCCCATCTCCTCCACCCCGAGCAAATCTGTCCTCCCCATGACCCCTGAATCCTGGAGGCTCACATCCCCAGCCAAAGAGGGAGGGCTAGATTTCAGCCCAGTACGAACCCCCCAGGGTGCCTTTGGCCCCCTGCCTGACTCCCTGGGGCTGATGGATCTCAGCACCACCCCACTGAAAAGTGTTCCCCTCTTTGACTCACCCCGAGAGTTCCTCAATTCGGAGGCCTTTGACCTCGCCTCTGACCCCTTCAGCAGCTGTGCCCCATCAGATATGGCAACCCCCAAGCCAGGCTCCCCTGAGCCACAGGTTCCCAACCTTTCAGCCAATCGCTCACTGACAGAAGGTCTAGTTCTGGACACAATGAATGATAGCCTCAGCAAGATCCTGCTGGACATCAGCTTCCCCGGCCTGGAGGAAGACCCGCTGGGCCCTGATAACACCAGCTGGTCTCAGTTCATTCCTGAGCTGCGGTAGAGACCTGGCCTTGCCCTTGCTGCTCAAGCTGCCCACTCTTCTGGAGTACTAATGTGGCTGGGCAATCCAGGCCCAGTGTACCCCAAGCCCTCTGAGTGAGAACAGCAGGCAGCAACTGTCTGCTCCTTAGCCCCACCTTTCCTGGTGATGCCAAGGCAGCAGTAGCACCTTAGCCGCCACTGGAACCTCTGTAAACAGCAAGGCCCTGGTAGCTGGTCTCTGTGCCACCTTCAGCTCCCCAGGAGAATCTGCTTCCTCTACTCTCCTACTGGGAGCTGAAGGGTAGGCACAGCAAAAACAAGGGTGAAAGGGACTAGGAACTCTCCAAACTGTTTCCATTCTGGACCTAGCAGTCTTCTTGCAGGGTGGCCCTTGTAAATACTGTATATTCTCCAAATTATCCTCTAATTATAAATGTAAACTTATTTCCTTAGATCATTATCTGGGGACTGCCAGAAGGCAGGTACGATGGCAAGGGGGTTCGGTTTGCTTTTAGTTCCTAGAGGCAGGAAGGACCTGCAGTGCCAGGTTTCTTCCAGGCCCGAGGTACCTAGCTCAAGGTACCTAGACCAGGACATCTGCTCACCCAGGTCCCTCTACCTGTCCCTCCCTCCCACCTCCCCACGTTTCCAACTCAGCTTTCCTGCAAGAAGAAATCCTGGTAACAGTCTCTTTTGTATTGTGTCAAGAGTTGGATTTGGGGTGGGAGATGGATGCATCTGAAGCAAAGCATGTGGGTGCTCCTACTGGATGTTTCTCTAATAGTGTCCCTAATCATGCCATTGTTGAGAACGTGGCTGGAGGCCTGAGAAGGCTAGAAGGGCCCCTCACCTGCCTGGCTTCCTTAGCTTGCACCTCAGCTTTGCAGACAGCCACCCTAGGCCCCAGCTGACTACACGCATGCGAGCCAGCTCAAAAACACTACTGTAACTACCTTCTCAATAAAATCCAGGGTGGAAATGTCAGTCTCTGTGGTGTTTTGGTGTCTGGTCCCTAAGGCAAGAGCAGGGGTTGGAAAAGATGGTGGAGAGGGTGGTAACTGGGAAGAGGCAGGGTCAGAGCTGACCTGAAGAAGCACCTGAGGGACTGAGTGCAAAGGGCTTTAGCATGGATCACCTCCCCCATGCACCCTGGGTAGGCACATGCCCTTTGTAACAGAAATTGCAAGTTTTCCTGATACTCATCCTGCAAAGCCGGCCCCTTTTCCCCTCATATCCAGCCTTGTTCCTTGGGACCTGTGGGCCTGCTGGGTAACTTAGGCCTTTGGGGCTCCCAAATAAGAGAAAGTCCTGGGCAAGGGCAGGCCCTGGAAACAGGGAGTGATGGGCCCACTTTACAGTGCCTCCTCACTGTCCCGCCCACCAACCCAATGTCTGACAGCCAGCCCGCCCTGCTTTCCTCCGCCCGGAAACAGCTCCTGTTACCATCTTTGGCAGTCAGGACTTAAGAGTCCTAAACCCTGCTCTTCTCACCTGAAAGGCAGCTGGGGGCCCAAGGGACTGGACAGCCCTCCCAGTGAGAGGTAAGGGCCTCCTCCCTGCGTCACCACTCAGGAAGCATCACCATAGCAACTCCAGCAGCAAACAATGGAGCCAGAAAGGGCTTCCTCTCAAAGTAGGCCCTCCCAGCTCTTGAGGCACAGAAGAATGGCCAGTAATCCACGAAGAACTCCCAGAGGGCAAAGCGGTCTGTCCTGTGTCAGAGAACCTTTCCTGCAGGTAGGAGGTGGGACCATCTAAACAGCATACCTGTTTATACCCTGTTGGGCTAGGGGCTGCCCCCCTGTGGTAGGCAATACAATCTCCTGAACAGCAGAACTCCTAGCCCATAAGCCACAGTTTTGCCCTCCTAGTCGAGTGAGGCCGAGGAACGGGAAGCTCAGAAGAGAGGAGAGTAGATGCTTGGTTGTTACCACATTTCCCAGACTCACTGGGGTGGTCCCACAGAAATGATTTAGGGGACTGAGCCTAAGAAACAAGTGACTTTTTTGGAATCGGCAAAGCCCTTGGGATGGGAGGGAGAGACATTTTTTTTTTAAATTGTGTTTTAGGTGAAAGTTTACAGCTCAATTTCTCATACAAAAATTTATACGCATATTGTTATGTGACCCTAATTGCTCTCCCTGTAATGTGACAGCACACTTCTCCTTTCCACCCCGGTTTTCCTGTGTCCATTCAGCCAGCTCCTATCCCTGTCTTCTCATCCCGCCTCCAGACAGGAGCTGCCCATTTAGTCTCGTGTATCTACTTGAACGAAGGCATGCTCTTCACAAGTATTATTTTATGTTTTATAGTTCAGTCTAATCTTTGTTTGAAGAGTTGGTTTCAGGAATAGTTTTAGATCTGGGTTAACGAAGAGACTGGGGGCCATGTCCTCTAGTCTCAGTCAGACTATTAAGTCTGATCTTTTTACGTGAATTTGGGCTCTGCACCTCACTTTTCTCCTGCTCAGTCAGGAACTCTCTGTTGTGTTCCCTGTCAGGGTGGTTGCTGGTGGTAGCTAGGCACCATCTAGTTCTTCTGGTCTTAGGCTGATAGAGTCTCTGGTTTACGTGGTCCTTTTGTCTCTTGGGCTAATATTTTCCTTGTTTCTTTGGTGTTCTTCATTCTCCTTTGCTCCAGGTGGATTGGGACCAATTTTTGCATCTTAGATGGCTGCTCACAAGCTTTTAAGACCCCAGATGCCACTCACCAAAGTGGGATGCAGAACATTTTCTTAATAAACTTTGTTATGCCAGTTGACCTAGATGTCCCCTGAAATCATGGTCCCCAGACCCTAGCCCCTGCTACTCTATCCCTCAAAGTGTTTGGTTGTGTTCAGGAAACTTCTTAGCTTTTGGTTTAGTCCAGTTGTGCTGACTTCCCCTGTATTGTGTGTTGTCCTTCCCTTCACCTAAAATAATTCTTGTCTACTATCTAGTTAGTGAATTCCCCTCTCCCTTCCACCCTCATAACCATCAAAGAATGTTTTCTTCTGTGTTTAAACCTTTTCTTGAGTTCTTATAATAGTGGTCTCATACAATATTTGTCCTTTTGCAACTGACTAATTTCACTCAGCATAATGCCCTCCAGATTCATCCATGTTGTGAGATGTTTCGAGGAATCATCATTGTTCTTTATCATTGTGTAGTATTCCATTGTGTGCATATACCATAATTTGTTTATCCATTCATCTGTTGATGGACACCTAGGTTGTTTCCATCTTTTTGCTACTGTAAACGATGCTGCAATGAACATAGGGTGCATATATCTATTTGTGCGACGGCTCTTATTTCTCTAGGATGTATTCCAAGGAGTAGAATTGCTGGATCATATGGTACTCCTATTTCTAGCTTTTTAAGGAAGCACCAAATCGATTTCCATAGTGGTTGTACCATTTTACATTCCCACCAGCAGTGTATAAGTGTTCCAGTCTCTCCACAACATCTCCAGCATTTATTATTTTGTGTTTTTCAGATTAATGCTAGCCTTGTTGGAGTGGGGAGAGGTATTTTTAAAAGAGACACATTCTTGAGCCCCAGCACGGGCCAAACACTGTGCCAAGCCCCCTTCACATGGCACAGTTACATGAGTAGAAGCAGAGTCAGGGCTCACGTCCCAGCTCCACCACTCACTCACTCGGCACATTGGATGAGTTACTCTCATGGTGTCTCGCTTTTTGCATCTTTAAAATGGGGGCAATAACAGTGCTTGCTCATAGTGTTGTGAAGATTAATGAGATGTGGATAAGTATTTAGCACAGTGTCAATACATATTTGCTACGGTTTATTTCATGGTGGGGGTGGCACAGGAAAGGAAAAGAACTGACATTCTAGATGCTTTAACTATTTGCTTGTATTTTAATGAGACTGAAGGAAAAGCACCAACAAAGGAGAAACAAGCAGCAAGGGGAGTCTGGGACAGAAAAGCACCTGTGCCCTGTTCTCTGGAGAACTTACCTGGCGTATCACCAGGACCAGGAGCAAGTGAAGATGGGCTTCTACACATAGCTTGGCATGGGGCATTTCCCCCCATAATTCTGTCAGGGCCTGATGGGTCCTATTAGAAGCATCAGTTCCTAAGAAAGAAAGGGGGCACCAGAACAGAGGAGATGAGTGAAGGTGAAGAGTAGGAAAACTTAAGTTGAGGAAAACCAAAAAACTAAACCAGTTGCCGTCGAGTCAATTCAGACTCATGGCAACTTCAGGTATGAAGAGTAGAATTGTGCTCCATAAGGTTTTCAAAGCTATGACCTTTTGGAAGCAAATTACCAGGCCTTTCTTTCGACGCACCTCTGGGTGTGTTTGAACTGCCAACCTTTCAGTTAGTAGTCCAGCACTTAACCATTTGCACCACCCAGGGATTCCTTAAGTTGAGGAGAGGGGGTGGGAAATCAAAGCCAAAACACAATCAATAGAGAACAAAAGGTGGAAAATCCATGAGAATAATACAGAGCAGTCATAACTTCTGATGGGCAGGACAGACGTGGAGAAATGGTTCCTTTTCAAGCCATTGGTGTCTGGTGAGAATCCTGGATGTGGAGGAAGCTGGCAGCTTGTTCTCTCTCCGGCTGTGCCTGGGAAGGCGAGACAGAGTGCCCTCCCCGCTTCCTTTCTGTACACACAACCATCCCCAGGCTCCCTCTTGTCTCTCCCTAGATGGTCCACTCCTATGAGTCGCTCCTGACCTTCCAAACATGGGCTCAGCATGACGACTTCCTCCTCCCCAGTGAGTCCTGTGAGTTGCCTGGTTTCACCCGGCAGGCCTACCACCATCTGGCCCTGAAGCTGCCACCCTGCACAGAAATTAAGTCCAAGGTGCGTCAACGCCTAATCTACCCTGCTGAGAATGCAACCCAGCACACCTGGGGCTTTCACACGTGGCTTGATGTGGGGCGCTTGCCTGCCACCTTCCCCACTCGGCCTGATGTGCCCTATGATAGCAATGTCTGGCGCTGGTTGACGAACTCCAGGGCCCACCACCAGCCCCCAGCGAAGCCTCCCATTCCCCCTCCCTCCCGGATGGGTAAAAACAACTTCCTGACCTTCATCTGCTGTACTCCCATCTTCGTGGATGCGAATAGGAAGAACCAGGTGATCCTCAGGACGGTGAAGGAGCTGAAGGAAGTGGAGAAACTCAAGCTGAGGAGTGAAGCCAGAGCACCTCCACTCAATGTCCACGGCAACATCCTGCCTCCAGAGAACTTCAAGAAGTAAGACGAACTTCTTCCTCAGGGAGCTCACCCAACCAACTCAATGTTCAGGTGACCCCAACCACACTCTGACTCCCATTTATGATGTCTGATTTGGTGCTCTAACCTTCCCACCTCTGGTTATCTAAAAACCAAACTCTTTTCTGAGCATAGTTGGAAAGAAGGGGTGGAGGCAAGGGGAGGACAGCAAGTGGAGATGCTTAATTAATTAACTAAAAGTTGAGGTATACCGGTTAGACACTGGGGATACAGAGAAATCTGATTCAGTCCCTGCTCTCAAGTAACTTATGAAAGGCAGATATGGACATGTGTGAAAAGACAGCCATCCATATAAGGCCACATGTGCTAAGTGCCTGAAGTGTGAGACAGATGGCAGGTGCTATAAGGAAGTCAATTATTAACGGAAACAGCTGGAGCTGGAGTCGGCCTGGAGTCAAGCCCAGGCTGTGTCGCTTTTAAAATTTGCATAGTTTTTCCAGCCTCAATTCCACATTGATAAAATGAGGAATGATAAATACCTACCTCACTGGGTGAGGACACAATTCGTTAGTGAATATGTAAAAGCATTGAACAAAAAATGAGATGTTATTACAGAAGTTCAGAAGAGGGAGTGGACTGGCGTGGCCCCCTCTCCCAGGAAGCTTTCGCAAGGAAATTGGGATTAAGCCGGGAAGGGTAGAAAGCCTTCAGAAAGGTGGAAAGGAGGGGAAGGAGCTCTCCAGGCAGGATTGATGGGTGCGGAGCAGAGACGGGCATGTGAAAGGTTTGAGAACCCCCACAGACTCTCCCCTTCCTGCTCATCATGGGAACTCAGTTATTTCCATACTGTGTCCAGTGCAGGCAGTGGTCATCAGTAGCAGGAAAGGGGGAGAAGCATGAGGCTGGAATGACTCAAATTCCAATCCCAAGGGCATTAACAGAAACACTGAAGGTCGGAAGGGAAGTGACTGTAGAGATTTTTAATCTTTAAGAAATAATAATAAAGGTGCTAACAGCTGGTAATTTTGAGAAGAGCTTGGCTTCTCTCTATTGTCTTTTCAATGAGGAGTACTGATTGCTAATACATGCTAGATACTACGCATACAAAGATAAAGAAGACGCAGGTCACTCTTCAAAAAAATTCAGTCTAACGATACTGCCAACACTAGCAACTTACTATGTGCCAGGTGCTATTCTAAGCATTTTAGCTGTTTTATTTAATCCTCCCACAACCCTGTAAGGAGCCCTGCTGGTGCAATGGTTAAGCACTCAGCTGCTAACCAAAAGGTCGGTGGTTCGAACCCACCCAGCAGCTATGCAGGGGGAAGAAAGACCTGGCAATCCGTTCCTGTAAAGATTTACAGCCTAGGAAACCCTATGGGGCAATTCTACTCTGTACTATAAGGTCATTATGAGTTAGAATTGATTCAAGGGCACCCAACAACAACAATTCTCTGGATAGAAACTGTTATTACCAACCCCGTTTTACAGATGGGACATCTGAGGCACAGAGAAGTCAAGTATCTTGTCCAAGTTCACACAGCCAGTAACTGGCAGAGCTGGAATCTGAACCCAGAGCTCAGCTCCAGAGCCACATCCTTAACCATTGTGTTCTACTTCCCTCTCGTCTGATTGGGGGATCAGACTAGTTTACAGCTTCTTCTAATATAATGTGGTGTTCTATAAAGGCAGTATAATAAAAATATAATTATCCATAAAAAGACCATAGCACAGTGCTTGGCATACAGTAAGCACTCAATAAATGAGTAATGGCAGAAAAAGCATGGCCTCTGGAGTCAAACAGACCTAGATTGGAATCTACCTAGCTCCATCACATACTTGCTATAGGACCTTAAAAAAAAAACCCAAACCCATTGCTGTTGAGTCAATTCTGACTCATAGCGACCCTATAGGACACAGTAGAACTGCCCCATAGGGCTTCCAAGGAGCAGCTGGTGGATCAAACAGCCAACCTGTTGGATAGCAGCCAAATGCTTAACCACTGCACCACCAGGGCTCTGTATAGGACCTTAGGTCTCTTTAAATTCTTTAAGCCTCACTTTTGTCAAGTATGTATTGGTAGTTAGAGTCCCCAGCATCTGGCAGGGTTCTTAGAAGATTGCATGGCACAGCACTGGCATACAGAAGCAGCTCAATAAATCCTATCATTATTAGTACAGCCATCTCCATGAGAGTAGGGCCCTTGTCTTGCTTGTTTACTGCTCTAGAACCACCCCCTGGAGTCAAGAATGAAAGTCTGAGTCTCAGACAAAGTTTTGCTGTTCACAGAGGAGGTAGTATGTGAGCTGGACCTTGAAGGATGTGTACCAGTTCACCAGGTGGGAACACAAAAGAGTAATAAGAAGATAGGCCCACCCAGTCCTGTTGTTCCTTTTGAGTAGCTCTGTAAAGGGTTAAAAGAATTGTTAAAATGACTCTGGATCAGTCAGTATGCACATTTTGAGCACTAGAGACCCAGAGGACTTCAGATGTATAAAACATGGTGGAAGCTTCAAGAAGTTTGCTATCTTGTTAGAGAAATAGAATATTTACATATAAACCCAGTGGTTCTCAATCCCGGCAGTATATTAGAATCACCTGGAGCTCTTTAAAAAAGGCCAGTGTTTGAGCCCTACGCTGTAGATTCAGGAGCCCTGCTGGCACAGTGGTTAAGTGCTCAGTTGCTAACCGAAAGTTCAGCAGTTTGAACTCACCAGCCACTCCATGGGAGAAAGATGTAGCAATCTGCTTCTGTAAAGATTACGGCCTTGGAAACCATATAGGGCAATTTTACTCTGTCCTATAGGGTCGCTGTGAGTTGGAGTCAACTTGACGGCAGCTGGTTTGGTTTGAGTTTCTGGAGATTCAAGTTTAATTGGTTTAGGGGACAACCTAAAGTGCTTGGCTGCTAAGCAAAAAGTTGGCAGTTTGAATCCACCAGCTGCTCCGCAGAAGAAGGATGTGGCAGTCTGCTTCCTTAAAGATTTATAGCCCTTGTGGGGACCATGGTCTTGGGGAACATCTAGCTCACTGGCATAACTGTCTTAGGTATCTAGTGTTGCTATAACAGAAATACCACATGTGGATGGCTTTAACAAAGAGAAATCTATTTCCTCACAGTAAAGTAGGCTAGAAGTCCAAATTCAGGGTGTCAGCTTCAGGGGAAGGCTCTCTCTGTTGGCTCCGGAGGAAGGTCCTTCTCATCAATCTTCCCCTAGACTAGGAGCTTCTCCATGCAGGAACCCTGGGTCTAAAGGATGCGCTCTGCTCCCGGCACTGCCCTCCTGGTGGTATGAGGTCCCTCTGTCTCTCTGCTCACTTCTCTCTTTTATATCCCAAAAGAAACTGGCTCAAGACACAATCCAAGCCAGTGGATTGAGTCCTGCCTCATCAACACAACTGCCGCCCATCCCCCCTCATTAACATCATAGAGGCAGGATTTACCACACATAGGAAAATCACATCAGATGACAAAATGGTGGACAATCACACAATACTGGGGATCATGGCCCAGCCAAATTGATATGCACATTTTTGGGGGACACACTTCAACCATGACAATAACATAGTTTATAAAGAAAATGTTCTACTTTGGTAAGTAGTGTCTGGGGTCTTAAAAGCTTCTGAGTGGCCATCTAAGATACTCCACTGGCATCACCCTGTCTGGAGCAAGGGAGAATGAAAAGAACCAAAGACACAAGGGAAAGTTTAGTCCAAAGGACTAATGGACCAACTACCGCAGCCTCCACCAGACTGAGTCTAACACAACTAGCTGGTGCTTGCCTACCACCACTGACTGCTCTGACAGAGATCACAATATAGGGTGCCAGAAGGAACTGGAAAAAATGTAGAACAAAATTCTAACTCACAAAAAAAGACCAGACTTAACCGGCCTGACAGAGACTGGAGAAACCCTGAGAGTATGGCCCCTGGACACCCTTTTAGCTCAGTAATGAAGTCACTCCTGAAGTTCACCCTTCATTCAAAGATTAGACAGGCCCATAAAACAAAATGAGACTAAAGGGGTACACTAGCCCAGGGGCAAGGACTAGAAGGCAGGAGGGGACAGAAAAAGTGGTAATAGGAAACCAAAGATTGAGAAGGGGAGAGTATTGACATGTCATGGGATTGGTAACCAATGTCACAAAACAATATATGTACTAATGGTTTAATGAGAAGCTAATTTGTTCTGTAAACCTTCATATAAAGTACAATTAAAAAAAAAAAAAAGATTTACAGCCTTGAAAACCCTATGGGGCAGTTCTACTCTGTCCTACAGGGTTGCTATGAGTTGGAATCGACTCACTGGCAGTGGGTTTTTTTTTTGTTGTTGTTGTTTGGGGGACAACCCGAGCATTAGTGTTTTTAAAAAGCTTCTTAGGGTGATTCTAATATGCAGCCAGGGCTAACAACCTCTGTAACCAATGGCAGCAAATGGGACTATTTGCTGAACCAGGTGCAAAGCATGTTGAACCATAAAAAGTTTGCATTATTTAACCGTCAATTTCCTACCGTTCAATCTATAGGCCTTAGTGGTGCAAACGGGCACTCAACTACTAACCATAATGGTTGCTGGTTTGAATCTACACAGAAGTGCCTCAAAACAAAGGCCTGGCAATCTGCTTCTGAAAGGTCACAGCCTTGAAAACCCTATGGAGCAGTTCCACTCTGCACACATGGGGTCACCATGAGTCGGAACTGACTTGGCAGCAACTGATTTTGTTTTTTTTGTTTGTTTGTTTTTTTAATAGAGAACAGGAAATTATCAGAGAAAGTCTAGAAGAATCACAGCAGGTCAGAACTGAAAGGGCTCTTTGGTATCATCAATGATTTTTACCAATGAGTTCTACCAAAGATAAGGAGGAACACTTGCATTGAGCGCATTCTTCCCATTGACACTACATTAAGGAGAACATGGGATTTTGTGGATGGTTAGAATCTGGAAAATTGAGGGTAATGATATTATGTATCAAAAGAACGGAAGATTTACCATCTCAACATTTGCCTTAGTTATCTAGTGCTGCT